TCGCGCGGCCCTGCGGAAACGGCGGCGGCGGCCGGCGGGGAGGGAGAAGCGCGGTGCACCGCCGCGCCCCTCCCGCCCCTTCCCGCCGGAGGCAGCGCCACGTCTCGGGCGGCAGTCGGGCGGGCGGCCACAGGTCTGCGCGGGTTCGGCCGGGTCGGGGATGGGATGGGGGTGGTGGGGCGACGTGCGGTCCGAGGGGCTTCGCCGCGCTCCGGCCCGGGCCCCGCCGCGCTCCGTGCTCGGAGCGGAGCGGGCAGGTTTAGCGGGCTCACAGCGTCCCGCGGCGCGTCTGTGTGCGTTCCGAGTGGGTGCGCGGAAGGGCTTGGGAGCCGTCGGCCTTTGGGGTTGGGTCGCACGGGAGAGCCCGGCTGCGGAGAGCTGCCCCGCTCAGTGTGCGCCGCGTGCCGTCCTGTCTTTGTCTGCGGCTCCTCTGCCCGCACGGCAGCTGCTCGTCAGACGGCCGCCGTGAGCTTCTGACGCGGAGCGTGGAATCCTTCCGAGGCCGTGAGCTCGTTGCCTTCCTCTCCCGTGGAGATGTCCGTTCCGTGCCCCTGCCGCTCCCTGAGCGGCGGCGCTTACACGGCTGCACACTGGAGATGGGGACGCGGCGTTGCTTACGGTGTGTGGAAACTCACCGAACCTAGGCCTGGCCCGAAATCCCTTCCGCCGCACAGAATCGGGGGTTCTGCTGTTTTGGTAATTGCAACGCGAGTTCAGCTGTCGGTGCCTGTTTGAACATTTTGACAGCCGCAGTGAGTGCTTGCAATGGCTTTTGTCAGATGGTGTCAGTAGTCCGGGTCTGTGTACAGGTAGGAGCTGAGTGCAGGTTATGGGATTTGCATTCTGTGTTTGGGAATCCCTCCTGACTCCCCAAGGCACTGGGCCGTGCCCTCCCTGCTGCTGTGCTGACTTTGGCCAGGCAGTGCACCATGTGTGTGCCGCTCGCTCTGCGGGCAAGTAAACAGCAGTGATGTCATTTGTATAAAATAGCCCTGGTTCCCTCTTGTGTTGTGACCAAAGGATTTGAACCAGGTTGGCAGTAGGTCCTTGGAATGAAATATGTTATGAAAGTCTAGACTGTGACTCACAAAGCAGAATGCAGCACTGAGTGCTGTCTGGCTTGTGAAATAGAGGTGAAATAGAAATTTCTGTTAAAAAGGACAGCGATCTTAAATCAGTCTTGCTGAATGGTATCTCATTGCCTTATTACACTGATCTATTAATGCAACTGGAAAATAGAAGGTGACTAAAATGGTGTTAAGTAGACCATTTCATATTTAGAGAAGTTGGACAGTTGTGGTATTGCATTGTCACTGTTACTATCCCATCTGCTGGTTCTGTTTGTTGAAGTTGATGGGCTGGTGGGCAGTCTGTGAGTGCTGCTTGCTTTTTAACTGCTGTTTTCAAACTATGTTTGTTTGTAGGGAATGAGGATCCTTGCTGATTAAAGCTTTGGCTGTCAGCTGTTTTCATGATCTGGAATCATCAGCTGCCTGCTGCTCACCAAGAGCTGAAAGCTCAGAACTGTGCCCTGCATAACACCTTGATGCTGTTGCTAATGGAGAGAAACTGGACTCGGTAGTTTGCTTGGCAGCACATTTAGAAGAAATACTTTCCTGTGATCTGGATTGTTTTTACCATGGAATCCTCATCCATGCAGCAGGATGTTCTGTTGGACAACAGGAGCAGCAGTGGGGCTCCTGGCACCTCTCAAGAACATGGGGATTGTAACGCCAAGTCAGCTTTGCGTGTTACAGGAGATGAAGTTAACCGTAAGTTATTTCTTATGAACTGCATCATTTCCAAGTCTCACAAGGCTTCCCTGCTACTTTTATTTGGGCGGTGCTGAAGGACATCTTTGTCCATGAGATCAGAGATTTCTTGTACAGCAATACATAGAAAGTTTAGTGAAGGCCATGACTCTGCACATGAGAAAACTTTTCTGTTTTAGAATTCATTCTTTCAAAACAAACCCACACTACCCAGTACTATCAGCCACCAACTGAGCATGTGCTGCTCACAGTGTTACTCCGTCTTCTGAAATCATTTCCAGTCACGTATGCATGAAGCTCTTCAGAACTGCCAGTTCTAACAGGTCAGAAATGGAGTATTTTATTCTAGTTCTAAGTTGAAACGTACTCAGAAAGTCTCTCTAAATTTGCGTTGTGGAAGAGAGATGCTGGCATGTACGCCCCAGATTATCTCGCCCAAATTATCTCAAAATAATGTAGGCAGGCACTGTAGTAAAATTATCATGCAGCTGCTCAGAAGAAACTTAAAAGTGTACAGATCTGAGTAGATTACAAAGTCATGGAAAAACCGAGGTTGGAAGGGACCTCTGTGGATCATCTGGTCAGGTCTTATGCACAGAGCATTGCTGTCACAGTGCTCAGGGCTGCCCAGGCCCTCCTCATGCTGGCTTTCAGAAAATCTCCAAATCAACAGCTTTTCTGCCCGTGCTGTCACTGAACTGCTTTCGTTGTGAAAATCTTCTGCATTGATGTTCCCATGTTTCCACTACAGATAGCGAGGGACAAGTTGATACGAAGGGGGTCTGTGTGTTGCAGCTGCAGGCATGTGCTGAATGAGGATACAGAGTGCTTATGTTAAAGGAACTTTCTGTTGATACAGAGGGGATCATGTGACAAAGCTGTTAGTCTTCGGTCCTCCTCTAGTGTCACAGAGCGTCACCTTGTCACGGGCAGGAAAGTGGAGTCCTAAAACTGTGTGCACTTATCACTCTGCCCTTTATCAGAGCGGCAGTGCGGCTGTGTGCTGATTCATTCATCTTTTATGAAGCCAGAGATCACGCTTTCCTGCTTTCTCCTGTCTTGGACATCATCCAAGCAGTCGAATTGTGGCTTGTAAATAGGTAATGTGTGACTCCAGTGTTTTCAATTAAATTCCATCTCTTCCCACACTTTTCTGACCACGGTTGTATTGACACCATTGCCATTAAATTACTTTAGTTCCAGACGTAATTTAGATGCTGAGTGTCTCATGGCCTCAGGAAGTTGCCAGGAAACCATTCTTCCAGAATTTTGCTCCAGTATCTTTTTTTTTTTTTTTTGTACCACTCAAGGTTGTGAAAGAAAAAAATATTAATAGAGTACAGGCTCAGTGCAGTAATAGCTGCAGTTTCAGAAATGTGGGCAGAAAATATTTGTGCATGTGCAAGGTGTTGTTACTCAGAGCACTCGCTCTCTTTAAAATTTCCTTTTTGCATTCCTGAGCTGCAGTTTTAAAATGTCTTCATCTGAACCTTATCTTGGTTGGTCATTTATAGAGCAGCTCCATCCTCTGCTCCTCTGCAGCCTGGTTGTACCCATCCCTTCTGTCCGGTGAGCTGCATCAGAGACTGGTTTGGGCTCAGAGGGGCTGCACGTGTTCCCTGTGTGACAGAGGTGATACTCGAGAGCATTTCAGTTCAAAGCATAGGGAGCTGATACGCTCAGGCCACCTGCCGTGAAAAGCTGTAGATTTTCTACGCACGCTGTTTCCTTGGTCAGAGCCCTGCAAACATCCCTGCTGGGATGGGTGGGTGCCTCACAGACATAGCAATGGATGAACGCAGTGGAAAAAGCCCTGCTTTCTTTCCTATCTCTCATCTGGCTGGTTTTACTTCAGGTCTGCTTTCACGTTCGCCGCAGACATGGACAGCTTTGTCTTTTTAATTGTTTTGCTTTCAGAATATTGCAGGGATTCATCATGTGAGGGTAACTGTACAACAGCAGTATGGTGAAGGACTGATGTCTAAGTCAGTAACTGAAGTATTTAACCAGTGTCACCAACTTCCTGTGTGTGGATCTTAGAAACACTTCAGTTCTGACAGGATCTGTTTTCTAATTGAATGTTTCTCAGTTCTCTTATTTTCCCCACATCAAACTTTTTAAAAAGAAAATGCAAGAAACTGTGTTTTCATGTCTGCAGCTCGAGGGAGGGGAAATGGAAGACTTGATCTTTCTGCTTGCAAATACCTGGTGGTCACACATGCTATATATTGTCAGACATATTTATAGAAAGCCATAATGACTTCTTCCACATCACTCTCATGAGTTCTGGTTATCCCAGTGTGTGAGCAGAAAGATGGGCTGCTTCTCTGCTCTGACAAGGTGTTTTGCAGAGGTTTAATGTAACACATTTGAAGTTAGATGTATAATTCTGCTGCAGCAGCAGTTCCCTAAATGGAAGTAACCCCTGATGGAGCAAAGTAAAAACGTGTGAAAAATACAAACCTACAAAATATTGGTCTGGCGTTAAAGAAGTATCATGATGGGAAAGGAGATGAGACAGAATTGGTACCAAAGTGGTTCTTGAATTGCCTTCTAATTGCTGGATTTATTGCTTTGATTCACATAAGGATTGCTATCGTACTTTTGATGGAAGATATACTATGTGAAAACTGTAAGCTAATCTTTGAAATTGGGAAGCTGTGGCTGACCCATGTGGGGAGCTGGGTGGTGGGTGCTCTGTGTCCCCATGCCCAGGGCTGTGCCCAACAGCTGAGTCACCATGCAGGGCCTGCAGTGCCTGAGTGTGGTTGCAGTGGCTTTGCAGTGTGCTGTGACAGATTGTGTTGTGTGTGTTGGTGCGTAGTGCTTTGAAATCTAACAAGATTTGTGTGAAGTTTTGAAGATATTTTATGATTGCATTTGAGATCCTGTTTGAAGGCACCGTGTTCAGGCAAATCGAAGGTATTTCATTTCTTAAATTGGAGGAATGTCCCCTTATAACACTGTGTTTTCCACTTACTGTCTTAGCGATTCCTGTATTCTTGTCCAAAGACAGCAGCATGGGCGTTGTGTGTGGATGGGGCAGTAAGGATACAAGGAGTGGTTTACAGCAAAGCTCAGTGAACCTTTCTTTTCCAGCCACCAGTGTTAACCTCAGCGAAGTGCCAAATGAAGAGGGAAGTCTGGAGCTAAACAGCAAAGCGGACGCCTGCCAGAATGGGCCAGAGTTGCTCTTCCCTGACTCTCCCATATCTTTTGATCCCACCAGCAGTCCTCAGGGTCAAGAGTCATCCCCAGGTGTGCCTGGTTTCCATGACAGCCTAAGGAAGTCTCAGGGAACTAGTGCTGAGGGCATAGCTCTTAGAAAAGAAGCTTTGCAGTCTCTCAAACTAAGCCTTCCCATGCAAGAAACAGAATTGTGTAAGCATCTGTTTATGATGGTGCCCCTGCTTTCCATTGCTGCATAAAGCTTTTTTCTCTGAGCCTGACTGTGGAAACCTCTACTATCATTTCAGCTTGGACTAAATGTCGTTTTTGCAGTAAGCTTTTACTTTGAACTAAAATTCATTTTCTTTCAGTGTACCACCCCCTGCTGCAGCTAAAGCACGTGCCTTAACATTTAGAAATTATTCTCACGCTGGAGGGGGATCTATGCTTTCTGGGATTGAGGCTGTTCTGATCTTCCTGCCTGATTATTGGGAGTAACAGGTGACAGCAAAACAAAAGGAGGTCATTTTGAGCTAAGTAATGAAGAGGAAGAGGAGAAAGGAAGAGCCTTTACTGTGAGAAATCTAGTGCTGCACAACATTTGTGGATTGTTCTTTAAAAGCATTCCTGGACAGACCATGTGAGGTAGCAGAGTGACAGAATATATCCGTTGAATAGTCTTTCTCAGACCTTTAAGGAATGAGCAGGCTGCGTAGGTCTGTCTCAGCAATTCAATTTCAGTACTGTCCAAAGTTCAGAACAGGTGAACTAAACTTGCTGTAGGATCTTTCTCTTTTCTTATGTACTCAGAGGAACTGCAGCACTGGGAAATTGGACAAACTGAAATACACAATCATTATCAATGCTTACACAACAGTGTATTAGAAGAGAACGTTTTGGGGTGCATGCTGTTGGGCTTTCCTTGCATTTCTTGCTTAAGCATGAAGCATGTTGCTGGTGGTAGAAGGGGTTGTTTCCTTTTGCATCAGATTTGCCTGTTGCAGTTTTCCTTTTTTAACTGTGAAGATACCCTTCACTTACAGGCTCAGTAGAGGCTTCCCTCCCGTTGGAGAATGAAGAACAAATACGACTTCAAGCAAGAAGACGGCTAGAAGAGCAGCTCAGACAGTACAGGGTGAAGAGACATCAGGAGAGAGTGAGTAGCACACAGCAAGTGTTGTAGCTTCCATAGTTGTTGGTAGGCTTGGAAGCTTCATTCTCTCTGTGCTTTAAATTATGTTTTCTATGTTTTAAAAATTCAGTTGCTTTTCCAAATGTGAAAAAGCATGCTATTTTTTCCTTCTGGATGTACAAAATGTGGTTCTGTTACTGTATTGCTAACACACCTTTTTTTTTTTTTTTTTTTTTTACAACTCAGAATATGGAAAAAATAACAGAACTGAGATAACCTTAAGAAAACTCTAGTAGTTATTTCAAATCTTATTTAAATTTTTTTCTTCTATCTTTCTGCTAGTTTTAGCTGGAACTTAGTTGGTTTTTCCCTCCCAGTGCCTGGTACGATGCTGTGTTTTGGCTTTAGTGGAAAGCCATGTTGATAACACTCTGATGCTTCTAGTTGCTGCTGGGCAGTGCTGCACTGAACCAAGGCCGTTTGGATTTCTCACACTGCTGTGTAGTGAGGGGGACTGAGGGACACCAGGAGTTGGGAGGGGACGGAACCAGGACAGCTGAGGTAACCCAGCCAAAGGGATGTTCAGTGCCATAGGACACCATGCCAAAACAAAAGCCTGAGAAGGGCAGGGATCTGGCTGGGCAGGTGGCTGCTGTGTGGGCACTGGCTGGGGGTCAGTCAGCAGGTAGTGAGCAATTGCTTGCACATCACTTGTTTTGTGTACATATGTATTTATATTATTATATCTGTTATCCTGTCTTCCTCTTCCTTTTTGCATCTTAGTAGTTTTTATCTTGACCACAAGTTCCACTTTGGTTTTTTTTTTTTTTTTTTTTTTTTTTTTTTTTTTTTTTTTTTTTTTT